TCATATCCGACGGATGTCCGTGACATAACCACGCGCCGTCCAAACACCCCGCCGACGACGATACACGGATCCCGGAATATGAGATGCAAGAGTAAGCGCAGCACTGGCCAGATTCTGCCCCATCACAGGTTTAGGGTCGGAGACTGTCGCCATCATCTCGCCAAAGTCTCGCGTGACGATCCGAGATTGTCATTACGTATTATGAGCTAATAACACTGTTAAAAGAATCTGTGATATAGTGCTGGGGTTAAAATATGTGCTGCAAGGCTGCGTATGTTTGTATTAAATGGATGTCTTGGATAGTTGCGATTTGTTCGTGTTGTAATAGAGCCATTCGTGACCAACTCGTGTTATTCCGGGACAAGCAGGTTACGGAAAGGGGCGAGTGGTGACGAATGGTATTAGACAGAGATCCAGGGAACAAGCGTTGGTTGTGACATGGAGGGTTTTTGTAGACGGGGTTACAGGTTAGGTCGAAGGTCATGGCACAGCACAAGTGTAGCTTGTTCACACCGTGTATAATATCTTGGTTGAAATTTGAAATAGTTTATTGAATAGGGGTGCGACAAGTGACTACTAGTATGGGTGTTATTAAAACTTTATCAACTTTCGATAAAACTTATGAGCATTGAAGACAATAAAACCACCTTTTTTAAAGATCTCAGGATGATTTGTAAAATAATTGTTACGACCTACTTTTCAGGTCATAATGGGGAAAGTATGTTGTTTTACGCCTGTCAGGAATAAAGTTGCAGGTCACATAATTCAGAATAATTTATGCGTAAGGGGTCAACCAACCATTTTTATTCTGAAAGGCGAATCTTGTGTTACAGACAGGATCTGTTGTTGGTTATTGTTTAAACACACGCATTTTTTCTGGGAAAGGAGCTGAACAAGTATTTTTTCACAACACATTGTTTACTGGACATCCTTAGCCACCAAACTATTCACTCTGCTTAACTCCCGTGAGAACTTTATGTATATTGGTGGTCGTTCAATGGTTTGGTTGGTTGTTTGTGTATTGTTAAACGCCACACTCAGCAATATTCCAGCGATTGACGGGATCTGTAAATAATCGGAACCAGAAAATCCAGTGATTGACAACATGAGCATCGATCTATGCAGTTGGGATAAGAAGGCATGCATCAACCACCTGATCCCGTCGTTAGTCGCCTCTTACGACCAGCAGGGGTTGCTGAAGACCAATTCTAAAACGGGTCGTCGGGGGAACCGGATTAAGGACAAACATCTCAATGGAAACTGTTCGTCCAAATAAATGTTTCGGTTAAGGGGATGGTTCCCTGCCCAAAACCTTGGTTCGATTTTCAACATAGGACCCCAGTATTGCCTTTTATTAATTCTAATTTGGCTAAAAACTTAACTGAATCGCTTCCTAAGGCAGTCAACGCTGCTAGTTTTCTTCAGATTTAAGTATATTTCTGTCATAATTGGTAAAATCTCTGCTTGGGTATTCTGCCTCTAATATCCCGGATGTACACAATCTGAAACCTGTCACTACAATAAACACTGGCTAATCAGAACCAGATTCACCACAACATTCAAGTACCTTTCAGTCGGGCATGAACCCAGACAAATACCGATGTCAAACTGCCAACAATAGGTCTATTTCCGGCTGGTCTAAACACCACCATGCACAGCACTAGGAAACGATTAGTTGTGTTTGTGCAATACTACCCAGCTAATTTACCCCAGATCATACCAGGACCGATGTTTGTTCAGTTAAATTGTCTGGGGAATCCACAATTTTATTTGGCTTTGGTAATGGTTTTCCTTTTAATAAAAAGAAACTTAATGAAATGCCACATATACTCCAAGTCTAACAGAATATGTTTATCATCTAAGTATATTTTAGTCGTTCCTGTGTAATGATTTCTATATATTACAAAATTAGTCGAAAAGAAAATGACACTTTTATTATAATCTTTCCTCCATGTATATACTTAGGGGCCATTTGTTCTTAGACCGATGTTCCCGCGTGCAACTTTCAACACAACCACCCGTAAATTAATATCTAGTCTCGGAAACGAAATTGTTTTATGGAAAAACACTTGTAAAATTATCCTATTAACATATATTAAAACGGAGCCCAGAGACTCTTCATTTTCAGCCCAAAACAACAGTAATCTAGACTTGCCAACTTTGATAGACTTGCAATGGCTGTATTGGATATAAATGTATTTGTTTCAGGTTCTGTATGACAGACTGAGTTACCCGTTGTTATAGCGGTTTACGTTGTGTTTGACAGTTTAATCGTCATGCAGGTCGGGGGTTGGCATTCTGCACATCGGGAGTAGAACCCCGACTGTGAGACGTCCGTGAAGAGCGATCACTCTGCCAACGGAGCTAACGATTAACCCAACGGCTTTTATGATTCGTGGAATTTACATGTGTCTCTGTTAGCATACTCATCACAGTGGGTCACATGCTTAGTAATGACATAACAGTGTTCGGATAGCAGTAGGATTATAACAGTATTGAGATAGCGGTAATATTATAACTGTGTCGATATAGAAGTAATATTATAACCGTATTGGGGTATCAGTAATGGTTTAGTTGAGTTGAGACAACAGTAGCAATATAACCGTGTTGAGATAGTAGTAATGGTTTAACGACGTTGGAATATCTGTAATGGTTTAAGGGTGTTGAGATATCAGTAATTGTTAAACGGAGTTGAGATATCAATACTAGTTTAACAGTGTTGATATATCAATAGTGGTTTAAAATTGTTGAGACATCAGTTATTGTTAAACGGAGTTGAGATATCAATACTGGTTTAACAGTGCTGAGATATTAATAATGGTTTAAAATTGTTGAGACATCAGTTATTGTTAAACGGTGTTGATATATCAAAACTGGTTTAAGAGTGTTGAGATAATAATAATGGTTTTAGAGTGTTGAGATATTACTTAGTGTTAAACGGAGTGGAGATATCAATACTGGTTTAACAGTGCTGAGATATTAATAATGGTTTATAAATGTTGAGATATCAGTAATTGTTAAACGGAGTTGTGATATCAATACTGGTTTAACAGTGTTGATATAATAAAGATGATTTAAAATTGTTGAGTAGTTTTTAAAATTTGATGGATATTAGCAAGGTTAAACGGTGCTGAGATATAAATTATGATTTAACCATTTAATGTTGGGTTATACTATATGATTAACAATGTTGGATATCATGAACAGTGTTGTGGTATCATTAGCCTTGCCTCAAGGCTGTACTGAAAGATAAGTCCATGGATGTGTAGTAATTCTATCCTTCTAAAAGGCAAGTCTAGATATGTATTTAGTAAGGATTGTAGTCTCTTACAGGGACAAACTTGTTCTTATTATTTACATAATCGAGAAATTATTATTTAAATTAATAACTATTTGCTTAGAGACTTGTGCATTATGATTTAAACCCACAATTACTGCCTTAGAGACTTGTGCAAGTCTAAGGTATCATCTATAGTTACAATATGTGATCTGTGGCACAAATAAGGATCAAATCCTTCCATTATTGCAGTCAGTTGTCATTATTCCACGCCATTCTTCAATAAACGCTGTCAAATAGGGTTACCATGCAGAGACTGACTGCAACAGTTGTGCATAAGAATCCACCTTATGGGAAAAAGGGTGGGCCTATTCAAAATCGTTGTTATTAATTATCAGTATCTGTTACATAATTGAAAGGAATGGTTTAATCACAACAACGCTGTAACGTTTGAGATAACAATACAACCATCGACTAACAATCTAACATTATTCTGGTCACCAAACGTTGCGCGTCTAAATCGTGCATTATTGATAACTATTAGTTCTGAACACAATTAAGTCTAGTTTACAACAATAACGTCATTTGAATAATGCATCTCATTTAGATCATATTAGCACCAAACGCCTACAAGGGTAGGCAACCGGCGTGCACCTGTCGCTGATGTGATGACGTGTGTCATCCAGTATGTTGCTTCACAACAACGTCCCTTCAACGCTCGTTAACAACTGTCAGTCTTAACGATGTACATTATACATATAAAACGTCTATTTCGGCGGAATATCACAATAATTTGAATTTGAAAGACTGCTGTGACAAAAAGAAATACTTCATATTCAGAAATTAAGAATGTGTCCAAATGTACTGCTGTTGTACATTGTTACCTATAAGGTTGAAATAAGTTGAAGTCGCGATTGCATCACGTAATATGTTGTAAAATTCCGAAACTCTACTCATCATACGGTATATTTTATGAGAATAAACACTCTTGAATAACGTTTTTGATGACAGATTTTGTCAAGAAAACAACGGTTCTACCCTCGAGGTGAAGGGGGGGGACTCACGGGCATTTCACAGAAGAGGGTCAGGCGTAGCTTAGTGGGGCCTACAAGTAGCGACACAATGCATGCTGTATAAAAGTTGTCTCCTTTCAAACAAAAGCTGTAGTGTGGAGTAAATAAACGAACATGAATCATTTCTAACATGTTAACCTCGCAGTCTACTTCACTATGTTATTCGGCAGTTAACCATCATATAAATGTGGCGACATTTAGCGTCGTCTTGGTCTGCATCCTGCGCCATTCTCACGAGTATTCACACATAGTATACCACGCTAGTTGGTTTAACATAATCTCCAATGTATTCCTTTACAAACAGTCAACAATACCGGGGTATTCATCAACCCTTACATTGTTGAAAGTTTAGTATCTGGTAATTCGGTATCTTAATTAAGTATAAATAATCCCCGTAGTATATATTTACCCATTGGCATAATCGCCTGTGCTACGCGTAAATATTATCTCACCCTCAAAGGGCCATTTCGCACGAACTAATTGTTGAACGTTCTTAGACGGTGCGGATGACCGGTCACAAACAGCCCCTTCTTATAGACTTCATGAATGGGCTTTGTGGGACGGTTACCCACCCGGAACGCCTCTTCAAATGTGTACTATCGCAGTAACAGCATGTTTTCAAAATTTCAAAAAGCTAGAATTTAACTTACATTTGTGTGTCTTCCGATTCAGATGTGCTGGTAGTGTCGTCGGTACCTTGTCCACCCCTGTCCATCATTGCATCACTGTCCGTGCCGGTGTCCGAATCCGTATCCATGGCAACCGGACCTTGCCGGACAATGGGTGGCATGGGTAGTTCTCCCTGTCCATCCATCCCTCCCCCTTTTGCTAGATCGGGGGAACTGGTGACAACACGTTCACTTCTTTCAAAAGTGCTAAAGTCCTCTCCAGCATCCATGCCTTCCTGGCAGGCCATGTCCTCGCGTGCTTCCAGATCCGGAGCTTCCCCGGATGTGTCACTGGAGTTATCCATAGAATAACCTTGTCCCGCTTCCCAGTCAAAACCCTAGCAACCCACTACATCGCTTCACTGCAGTCCTGAGACAAAGAAAACCGCTACCCCTGCCGCCGAAGGATAGCGTTGGTCACGTGGCATTGCTACCTCCCTCCCATCCCCTCCCCTCCTCGTGGCCCGCTGTCAGAGAATGCTGCTGGGTCATTATCGCAGCCCGTGGGGAGGGGCTAGTGAACTGTGTACCAGAGTTTACCGTAATCACAGGGGCGAGATAAAGGCGCGACGAGAAACATGTTTTGAATTTCTCGAAAACGGTTTACTTTTCAGAAAACGTTTTAAACATCTATACCCCAGACAGCCGTGTATTGTAACAAGGTGAATATGTCTTTTTAACGTTAAAACTGATTATTGATAGGACTATTTGCAAAACAAACATACAAAAGTGTGTTGACCTTTCAGCTTGTGTTGACAGACCTGGTGGTCAATAACCATCAATCAAATTTTCAATAGGCTGTCGAGCGAGATTTTCACAAAACAGGATCATGTTTCTTGAAATCATACAAAGCTTTTTGCTTCAGTCAGTGATGAATGTGTAACATGTATTCGCGGTGGTCTTTCATAAATCAAAATTATTGTGAGTATAAATAAATATTGCATAAGAGCGCGAACTTGCCTCAATTTCATATTTCAAATGAAATCAGGTCTCCTTTGTTGCTGTCAATAGCGATGAGCAAGACCCGTAGCTCGAACACACGGACATGTGTACACGGTGTACGTTTGATGTTAATTTCAGTTGGCTAGTTATCGGTCAATATCCTTGACCAGCACTAGATATTCGATTATGTCAATTTCGCGCTTTCTAAATTTGAATACACCAGGGCGGTTAAATATTTGATGGCCGGAGCGGCCTTGCAACAAAAGACAACCCCGGAAATAATTTCAAGCACATGGTCAGCACTCTTGACCGTTGTCCCTGAACTTGGTTTCTGAGCGTGGAACTTTTGACAGCAATGACATTAAACATTTTACAGCGACGAAATGTTAGCATTTAAGCTTATAATAGACACAATTGCTCGTTACAACCATTAACCTACAGTTAAACCTTGAACAAGGATTTGCATATGAAATGCAACCGTTTACATTGAGTGACGAGTCGTCATATGATAAAACATATTTAATGGTTCATATTTAATATCAACTTGAATGTTTTTGCAAATTAAATATATTAACGTCAATCCAACATATTCCTTCTGATATAACATATCAAACTGATATAACCTTAAATACCAAACCAGTAATCACAATTAAGAAAATAAAATTCCAATATCAATAAATGTGCCAAACACGAAAATACGGTTATTTCATCGACATAACATACGTCGTTAGGCATATAAATGTAATTTAAAACCACTGAAATAATAGAAGAAAAAGCTACATTTTGAGTGGACAGCTGTATCAGGCTTGTAAAAATTCTTTGCTGGGGATTTTTCACACTTTTTTCTCAAAGGAAACACCGTGATCTTTACATGTTTAAATTCTGTATTTCAAAGCTATATCGTTTTGTGAATTTCGAGGCATGGGCTGTTTATTCAAGCAACAAACCGCAACCGTTAACTCAATGTATTTCAAGTGGCATGTTTTTAATACAGTCAGCTTTCAATCTGGCACGAGAATTTATCTTGGGGTAATGGCGGGTTCATTAAAAATATGGCATCGAATTTCAGACGCCTTTTTTTCTTTATCTGTTGTAAGCGGAGACGCTTTGCCTAGCGTTCTTCTGGTGGAGTTGCAACTTTGTCAGCTGTTTTGGCTGCGGGATCACGGATCTGTTACAGTATCAACAAATGATGTAAATATCGTCACTTTGAAAACAGTAGCTGGATTTCGGCATTATTGTGGATGAAATAAACTCGCCGCTTCAGCTGGGACGTAATACAAAGGGATGACTATTTGTGTATCTACATGCAAATGCAATTGGATTTGGTGGGTTGGTCTGGAGGATATATATTTTATACAAAAATCACCCCATTCCATTTTCATCCTGTTTCTGGCTCTAATATAAAAGTTCCTCAATACTCGAGGGTTCCTTTATAAAGTTATGTTTATTTATTTATTGTTGTTTTTTGTTTGTTAGTTTTTTTTGTTTCACGCCGCACTCAGGAATATTCCAGCTATGTAAAGGCGGTCTGTAAATAATCTAGTCTGGGCCAGACAATCCAGTGATTGACATCTCGATTCACGCAAATGGGAACCCATGTTTGTCGTAAGAGGCGACTAAATGGATCGGGTAGTCATGCTCGATGACTTGTTTGATTGCACGTCCATGTAGCCTGTCCTATAGATGGATATTCCTGAGAGAGGCGTTAAACAACCAAAATATGATGAAAAAGATGGACTGTGAAGAAGCAGGAAGTCACATCATCTTAAGCAACATCTGAAGCTGCTAAAATTTCAAGTTACGAAGTGTATACTAAAGAATATAGGCGTGTTAGGGAAGGTCTGGACACGGATGAGTCAGCTGGCGTAGAACGTTCGGTTCAAGTCGCTATACAATGTACACGCTTTGTTTGATAACAGATATTTTATGTAGATGAATCTAACAGTTAATGGTAACCCCTGGCGCGGCGAGGGTAGTCTAGTGGTTAAAGCGTTCGCTCGTCACACCGAATGGTCGGGTTCGATTCCCTTCATTGGTACAATGTTCTCTGCTCATTTCTGATGTCCCACGCAGTTTGTTTGTTTGTTTGTTGTTTAACGCCGCACTCAGCAATATTCCAACTATATGATGGCAGACTGTAAATAATCGAGTCTGGGCCAGACAATCCAGTGGTTGACATCATGAGCATCGATCCACGCAATTGGGATACGATGACAGGCATCAACCAAGTCCGCGAACCGGACAACCCGATCTCGTTAGTCGCCTCTTACGACAAGCATGGGTTGCCGAAGTCCTATTCTACCCCGGATATTCACGGGTCTCCCACGTAGTGATATTGCTGGAATTTGCTAAAAGCAACGAATAAACATATCCACTCACTCACTCACACACAAATGATTACCGTAATTACGTAGTCTCTCAATATTTCCAGAAGTCCCCACAAGACGAGAACGAATCTCTGGTTTCACATCTGGCAGTCATTACATTGTCTAGACCTAGATTGGAAATAGGTTCCAGTCTGCGAACACATGCAAAACAAGAAACGTGTTGTTTTCCGATTTTATCATAAGAATTTTTATATGTGGATGTAACGTTTTGTAACAAAAAGTCTGTCCGTGAAAGCTGTCTAGGTTCTTGTCACAAGCTATCAAATAGAAATAACTCAGATCACCATGGTACGACATGACCCTTTGTTTGCTTTGCATACGATGTACATGTCTTGTCATCATCATCAGCAGCAACAGCAGCAGCAACGGCAGTCTTGTCCCCAGCATCATTTTAAAACAACGTGAATTATTTTCCGCAGTGACCTTTCCATTAATATTTCCCCAACCCCACCCCCTCCTCATCATTATCATCAACAGCAGCAGCAGCAGCATCGTAGTTTTCCTCCTCCTCGTCGTCCTCATCACCCAACTTCATCAGCATCATTCTAAAAACACACACCATTCCTCATTTCCAGTTACAGTAACAGCGCTTGGTGGAAGCATTTCGTCATAATAGGGTCGGTAAAAATGCAAACAAACCATCTGTTTTCTCTCGTGTATATAAACAGTACAGTATTTGTTATTGTATAATAACTGGCATAAACTCGTATACCTTCTACTGAGTCATAATTGTTTACATCTCAGAGCCTGTTTGGACTGAATGCACCATTCACTGAAGACGTTTTCGGGGTATACCAACACTTGTACAACCACAAAAGCACACTTCGTAAGTACATTTAAAATTACCATTTCTTCGACACAGCCACGTTGGAGGTAACGAGAGAGGCGTTTCAGGAGCAACTCTCTCCTGCAACAAGCTAGACTTGCACAAGTCTCTAAGGCAATAATTATTATCATAATTTCTAATTTATGTAAATATTACAAGTTGTCCTATAAGAGACTGGATATGTACTGTCAACATATCTAGACTTGCCTATTAGGAGGATAGAATTACTACAACACCCATGGACTTATCTTTCAGTACAGACCCGGAGCAAGGCTACAGTCTCTGAAATGAACGTATTTTACAGAAAAAAAACAGTTGTTAATTTTTAGTTATAAAATATAGTATAAAGGAGCCCAGAGACTTTATTCATTTTGAGATACTGATACTGCGGTAATCTATACTTGCCAAACATTATGGACTTGCATTGACTGTATTAGATATATTTGTTTCAGGGTCTGTATGACAGGCTAATAAAAAGATCAAATCGGGGCTATCGTGTTGTAGATAACGATTGTCATGCATATAATAGGAACGTTTGATATAAACGGCATTGATATAAAAGGAGTGTTGTTTGAGATAGTCGTGTTCGACATTAAAAGCACCCTTTCGAGATAACCGTATTTGTAAAGAAAATTTGAAAACTCTCGCCTCTAATGACTAGAAACTCAGGACTCGTGTATCTTCCTGACATCATATGGACACCAAAACCCTTAGATTCCCTTATAACTATAACTCAATGGGAAGTTCCAGCCATAAGCTTGATACGTTCTATGAAATGAGCGACTACCGCCACAGATCTGAAAACACACGCGCTCCATGCTGACATAAGCACCATATTGCGACCTTCTTGTTTTCGGCGACTGGATTGTACCTGCATTGGGTTTCAACTATGTCTTTCAACAACGTAAGGCGGAACTCTCACTGAACCGTATCAGAATGCTCATCGCTAACATATCAGGCCCATTCCCAAGTGACCCCCACTCCCCATACCCCCACCCCCCAAAAAGAAATTTAGTTCTCGAGGTTTAGATTTTGGAAATGTACCACGATATTTTTTTGTAATGAGGTTAAATGTTTGTTTTCGGGAGGTGACATTCCTTATTCGGATACCCCTTGTTGATTGATCGCCCCATAAATGTATATGTGTGTTTCAGGAAAATTTGAAAAGATAGCGAATTTTAGTGGACTGATCCATGGTGAATCCCAGATTGAGTGGTATTACTTTGGACAGCAGGCCTATTACAGCCTTGGAGCAAGGCTAGCTCGCACGTAAAGTAAGACATTATATTCCAGACATTATCAGGTGAGCTGCAGAAACGCCAAAACATTTCTTTTTCAACAAATTGACAGAGTATGAATAAATTATGGTTGATTTGAACTGGCGTCTGAACGTGTTGAAAGAAGGCATTGACTGTATATAATATAGCATCATCTCTATTAAGAGTACTTGTTCCGAGAATAACAGTGTAGCTCTCGGCTTGACATTCGTGGTGATATGAGATATGAAAGCGTGAACATGAATGTATGGACTAGTGTAAGGGCCATTCTCGCGATCTCGCATTCTCGCGATCTCGACCTTTGGAAACGAGCTAAATATGCCCAAAACACGAGATTGCAAACTGCTTTTAGGGCACATCCGGTGTAAACTGTACATCAACTTGATGTACGCACACCAATCTGTACAGATGTTACTGACATGTCAACACCGCTGTACATAAATCTGTTAGTTCTCACTATGTGCAATTTCATCATCAATGGTCTGTCTATATGTGAGGATGGCACGGGTGGCCCAGTCGTTTGAGGCGCCGCTATTAGCTGTGCTGAGTTGCGTCCCTTGGGCACACCAGAAAGCTGTCATCGTGGGTTCGAATCCCGGTTCGCCCCGATTATGTTTCTAGGTTTGTCAGCACCATACCCGTGCTCGTGGGTTTCACCCAAGTGGTAAACGTCTGAGACCTGCATCACTTCGGGCTTTCCTCCCACATTAAGCTGACACGCCGCGATATAACTGGAATACTGTTAAATGCGGCGTTAAACCCAACTCACTCACTCACTCAAGTTTACCTCCCGCGGGGATCCCGGGATAGAACTGTTCCTTGGTGGCCAAAGGTGATCGTTAAAGGCGACTTAATGCATCGGGTCGTTAGGCTATGTGACTTGGTTGATTGTCTGCGTACCATGACGGCGTTGGACTTGGCTCATGAGGTCAACCACGGGTTTGCCTGTCACAGACTCGAATATTTACCGCCGTGATATAACTAAAATATTGCTGACTGCTGTCATAAACAATAAAAAAACGAAGAAATAACATTGTACGACATAAATGATATATGCTGTACATGAAAATAATATTAAGTACTGTTTTATAATTAGGCATACTTTCTTCCATCGAACTTCAGCTTAATATAAGGCCCTCCCTACACAACTGTAAGATTATCATTTTCAGCCCATATCTTTAAAAGCTGTTCTGATGTCCATATATAATTAAGTTATCCACCACGGTCCTATAACTCTGCACTCAGACATTGTGTTTTATTAATTTCATTATTGTTTATTATTCCTCACTGTCATATTGTATAATCTGTTTTATTTGTTTCTGTACCCGGTATCTAGTGGCTGCGCTAATATGTACAATAAAATGCATTTATATTTACCTAATCACTGTGTCACAAGTGTCAATCACTTGATTGTCTGGTCCAGAGTCGATTATTAACAGACCGCCGCCATATAGCTGGAATATTGCTGTATGTGGAGTTAAACAACAAACAAGACGTTCACACACCACGTCTTGAGTGGGACCGCTTCTCTATCCACACGCAAGATCTCGAAACAATGTTTACTTCTTAAAATAACCAAAACAGTTTATTAAAAAACAAAGTGTATGCTTCCTTTGCTTTCCATTTCCTTATTTTTACTCGATGTTTTTCTCAATCATTTAGCGAGTTGAACAAACATTAAAATAAAGACTTCTTCAAGTGACATTTTTTATTTTATTTTGGGGAATATCTTTGCAAAGCATCTTCGAAATTGATACGGCTTTTAAATATCACAACGCACGTTCTCCTGAATGTTTTATCCATTAGCGTATGCCTTCACGACCGAGGTCAAGTTTGCCGCTTGCCTTCCATAAACATATGTTGCGGGAGGCTGCTAATTCAATCGGCCAGCCTCGTCAATTTCCGTGTAACAGCGATGTGCTCCGAGTGAGCCTCTTGAGACATGATGAATATATTAGCGTGTTGTCCCACATACAATGATGGTTCGTGGCTCGCTCAACACCACGTGTCAAACAGTTTCACATCATCTTGGATCTTAAATACAGCTGTGAAGAATATAAACCCTGACGTTAGACTTCTAGAATATCGCTGATAATGAAGATAGGTGTCATGTAAACATACATCCCTTGGAGATCAGCTTACGCCTCGTAGGTTCGTTGCAAGGAAAACATAGAATTTCTTCATGGTACATATCGGACAAAATAAATACGACCTGAACTCATGCAGATGAAGCCAGAAACCATTTTTATGGTCTCTGATGTAACTTATTAATTATTGGTTTATCTTTATAATTTGTGTGGTATATTAACTAGTAAAGCCAGATATAATAAGATAGTTTGGTCTCTGATTAAACACATGTTAAATTCTTCACTTTAGTTTAAACATATTCTATTGACTAAAAAGACAATGGGGTTGGGCACAAGTGCAAAACTCGTTGTCGTCTTCTCCTATACACAGTTGCACATATTATAACTTAGTAAGTTGCGTCCCTTGGGCACGCCAGAAACCTATGTTTGTGGGTTCGCCCCGATTTAGTTTCTAGGTTTGTCAGCACCATACCCGTGCTCGTGGGAGTCACCGAAGTGGTAAACGTCTAAGACCTGCATCACTTCGGACTTTCCTCCCACATTAAGCTGACACGCCGTGAGATAACTGGAATACTGTTAAAAGCGGCGTTAAACCCAACTCACTCACTTAATGGAAATGAACAATTTACAACTAAAGAATGACTGAAATAGAGAGCACTATATCAAACAGTACCTATGGAAAGAGATCTTTAAAATTCGATGAAAAATGAAAATAATCAAGAATTGTATTGCACAAAACTCCCCATGGGGCAGAGTACACACTACCCTTATTTGGGAGTAAATATAATTGCAGACATGAAAGTAATAATACTAAAGAGGGAATATCTTTTATAAAAATAACATATGATCAAAATTACTACGACTTACTTTTTATTCCAACCGAGGCTGCACAATGAACGCATATGCAGACAATATGATAACTGTTTATACTCTAAATATGCACTAAATGCGATATATGCATAGACAGGAAGGGCCTCGTGTTGTGCCTCCTCACATCAGTTTATATAGGAGTATACATAAAATAAATATAAACATCGTTATCTTTGTTTCAAAAATAAAACATCTACATCAAACACCACCAAGGTGAAACGTACATGGAGTTTTATCATTCTTGATATAAATGATTACTTGAATGGAAACTGAATGTATACAAAGGATTTGATGACGTTATATATACTTTACCTTTCTTTTATCAGGTAGTCACTTGAGTGAACTTCGATTAAAAATAAATACGTTTTCGCTATGCTTTTGAATTCATTAGAAGTGAAAAGCACTACTTGCGTTGATTCATACATCGATTCGTGACCGTATTCGATATTCCTGATCCTTGTTCGTAACAAAGACTATCCCCTGGGGTCAAACTATAACTAACCCCCTTGGTGCCAAAACAATACTTTACCATCATTGTATAAAACTGCTCCAGACTGAACCACATAATAATGAAGGCAGTCTCTCATTAATCGACCATGATAGATCAAATCTCGTAGGTGGACGAAATCCCGCTTGACAGACACGTGACCCCTAGCGGCCATAGACGATCTGGACTGTCACGCTTCAGTGGTGTTAGTCGGCCATCTTTCTTTGTAAGATGATAATTCTTTTTGACAATACAGGCTTTCCTCGAGTGCTTAATTAG